AGGTAAAATTTATGAGTGCTGTATTAAACAACTTAAGAGACAATGTTACATTTTAAATCCATGTGGGTTAAAATAAAAACTTTTTACAAAAAGTTTGTTAAATTACATGTACAATCGTAGTTAATCTGCAACAGTATATTTTGTGTCGTGTTATTAATTTATACTGAAAAAAATTGTCAAGTTTTATGCAACGACTCAAGCATTTGACAATCAATTAATATTATTGTTTATAAGGAGTTTATACACGAGACTCTTCATGGTGTCCAAAATTGGTAAAAAGAAACTTTTGTTTGGAGCTATCCAATGATTTTAATGTCGTTGAAAATCGTCAAACCACTTTTGATTCTATCAAAGTCGAGAAAAAACTCAAAAACTTGTTTGGAATCATGAAAAAGCAATTAAAAAACTTCAAAGTTAACTAGAAATCTCTAAAAAATTTTAAAAACTTCAATCTTTCCAATACTTAAAATAAGCTTGCAATTTTTACCAAGCCCGTAAAATATCTAGTCACGGATTTGTTAGAATTGTTACAATTGAATTTAAAGCGCAATCACTCGTTTCAAGTCAAGCAAAAAGGGAAAGGTGTCCGTCGAACCCAACACACATAAAAAATATTCTCCCACAAACTTTTTTCATAATTACAAAAAAAAAAAAATAAATAAAAGTAATGATCGACTTCCGCAATTTTTCACAGCCCGAAACCCAGGAGTCGCCGAAAGCTCTCCCAAGTTCGTGAAGCTCCTGAGCGACTTGCTAATAGCTGAAGGCGAGGATGCGGTGTTCGAGTGCAGCGTGACCGGCGAGCCTCGTCCCAGCGTGATCTGGTACCTCAACAACGAGCCTCTGGTGGAAAACGAGCGCATAAAAATCACAAACGATGTCGAAAGCAGTGGCAGTGTACTAAGGATATCACCGACGCAGCCCAGCGACAAGGGTAACTACACGGCCAAGGCGACGAATCGCGTGGGCGAGGCCAAATCATTCGCCAAGCTCGTGGTGAAAGTGCTCGCTCAAGACTTTACCAAGCAGTTGATGTCCAAGGACGAGCAACAGCTCAAGCTGAGCGTGCAGATGGAGGAGAAACTCATTGCCCCTTACTTCAAGGAAAAATTTGAGAACGGCAGATTAGTACCCGAGGGTGTAACCACGAAATTCGAGTGCATCGTCTGCGGCAAACCCGCACCTAAGGTCAGTTGTTGCTAATGTTCCCCTTATTTCTATAGTCGAAAGACATTACTTTTACCGTAATCTAATTTGTATAATCTAACATTTGGGACAATTCAGCCTTACGCGAAAAATCCAGTTTTTAGTCTATAAATTTAACATCTGTAATTGAAGTTGAAGTACATTTTTGTCATACGTATCTTTAAATTTACAGTTTTAAAATATTTTTCAATTGCAATCGTTGCCGTTGTAGAAGAAAAAAAAAACATTTACAAGTTGAAATACTACTTGTCTCGATACATTGAATAACAGCCAATACTTACGGGCTTGTTTATTTTATCGCCTGTTCAAACGGTACAACACGAAAGAACTTAAAACTTGTTTGCAATGAGATAATTATTTTATTCGCAGAAACTATTCCAATAGTTCTGATAGGGTCATTGATAAATTGAAGTAGGTGTCGATTAGAGGTGCTGTTATTAAAAAAGTTTCACTGTCTGCCAGCTAGAAAAATTTGTAATTATGTATTGTCTGAGGAAAAAAAACTAATCTTTATGCTCTTGACGTTAAATTAGAAAATCAAGAGTCCATACACTTTAAGTGCGAGTTGTAAGCTTTCAAAAATAAGAATTTAATTTTCATAATTGTATAGTTTTGGTTAAAATCTAGTGAAGAACATTTAAAAAGCCTTAATTTTTGTAACTGAGAAAAGAGCTAAAAGCTTTTTAAATCTTTGGAGGGTTATGCAATACTTTAACCAAAAATTTACTTCATAAACGAGGCCACCGTCGACTTTAGGTCACTTGGTCAGCCCGCGTGCGACCAGGGTCAATTTTAATTGGCGTTAAAATATCTTCCCAACTTTATTTGGGGAAACAAAACAAATAGCAGGTCTTATTTGAGGTGAAACTAATGCCAAAAGGCCTTTGCTGCCACGTTATTATAGACGTCCCACTGGTGTTCGCGTAAAATTCGAAAGCTTCAAAGAGTTAGTCAGAATCGAAGCTTGCATGCATCATGATTCTATTTCTCATTATCTTCATTCTCATACTAGTAAGATCTAGTTTTGTTTAAATCTTAGAAAAATGTTCTTTATATCTCGTTAGTAGGGATAAAATTATAATGACCGAATCGTTTTTTTTATAAGAATTTAAAAAATACCGCACCCTCCATCAAGAGTCGATTACACTACCGGCACTGAGAGCCCGCCCCCCAACGCTAAGCGCTCTGTGATTGGCCGTAATTATTAATGTTAATTTGTCAATACCCCGGAGAATGCGCATCAAATCAAAATTTTGTAAAGAGCTTTTCTATCAGTCTTGACGAGCTTTATCGCGTAGTATAGTTTTCCTCACTCATTTTCGATACATGGTGTATATACGAGTTGAACTTTTAAAAAAGGGAATATTATATGTTGATTTTAAAACAAGTATTATACTTGGAATAAACGCCTATTTTACATGAGCCACAAAAATAGTAATTAATTTTTAAAGAAAGGATGAAAAATAAGTTACATATGTTTCTGAACAATGAGTCTAGTCCCGTACGTCAACTTAGGTAGCGCTACTTTAAATTGCGTCTTGGTGAAAATTATAGATAGCGATTAAGTAGAGATGTTTATATAAGGTATTAAAATCTAGTGAAAATTATAATTAAGGGAATTTAGTTCATTGGTTGGAGTTTCTACTTTACCGACTACCTCAGCTTAGTAAATTTCTATTATCAATTAATCAAAATGTTGTTTTTACGTGGAATAACGAGAATATCCGCCATCCTGGCCAAAAAAAATCACGTTATTTATTACGTGACGTTATCGAGTTGTAACAATTCTGGCAAATAATCACGTGATGTGCAAAAATCACGCTATTTATCACTTAATAATTAACGTGACATTATCGATTTTTAGCCGGGATGCTTATGGTGAAATCAATTAAGCTGAAATTTCTTGTAATCCATTGTAAATGAAAAGAGAAAAGTTATATCTTGCAACAGTAAAATAGTACTAAGATACCTATCATATGAAATGTAACTTTTCTTCTAATGTAATGCATTGAATGATCTCAAGTTTGTGTTTACTTTCCAAATTATAAGACAAACGCAGATTTTCTCATAATTTCCTCTTTAAATTTCAGGCCATTCAATGCATTACTTTTTGAGGAAAGTTAAATTTCATGTAATAGGTATCTTCTAGTACTCTTTCATGATTACAAAATGTAACTTTTCTTTTCGAATTCGCAATAAATGTAGGCTCTATAGGTTTCTAAAAGTATTAGCTTGGCAAGTTTTTCCGTTATGGTACGCATACACAATTTTTTAATTAATAAATATTAGAAATTTATTAAAATGAGGTAATCCGTGAAGTAGAAACTTTGGTCAGTATACGGAATGTCCTTAAGATATATTTAAAATTTAAAATAATTTATTTACAAAATTCATTTGTGATGTTGCACTTGCC